CCCCAAAACCCCAAAACCCCAAAACCCCAAAACCCCAGCGGTCTATTATCATGTTGAACTCAGAATAATTACTTTAGCTCATACGGATTTGATATTGTCCATTCTTAGTAATATATCTGACCCATGGAAGCCCTTTGTATCCGCTCTTATCCACAATTTTAAGGTATCTGACCTGAATTCCTGAGACAGTGAAATAAGGGATCTCATATTTTACCCTAATAGCATTCTTGAATTTTTCTCTGTCAGTCTGTTCGACAGAAGGGAACCCAAAGCTAGCTCTCATTAAGTATTCTTTCCTTCCTGCAAATTGTTTAATAGACCAATGCATGCAGTCCTCTTCTGGTAAATATTCGACAGTACCAGTGTTTGTCTTGAAATTTGGAGAGTCTACGTCACAAGGAACTGGAACGTAGATCTCTACGTTGTTTGCAATCGATCTGGATTTGAACTGAGCTTTAGCCTTGACCATATATTCTATTTTTGACTTGGTGTGGGATTCAATAGTGCACTCTACCCAAATCAGAGGCTTTACTCTAGTGTTTAGTCTATAAGTCATAAGTTCGAATTTTCCATCAGGAGGGATGAAAGAAATTGTTCTATCTCTGTCAAACTGGGCAAGTCTCACACATTGATGGAATTTAATATCCTCAAGTTCGATTAGTTTCCCTCTACTAGTCTTTCCCTTGATCTCGAAAGCTTGTTTATCATTTAAGCCTAGTTTTAAATCAGGCATTCCGCTTAACATGGAATTGCATTGAACTGATCCAAGAATCTCAGAGCTGAGTACATTCCCGGTAGAAGAGCATAGCATATTAAGTTCTTCTACTGCATCAAGGAAGATTTCGTTCTTCTTATGCTTGATACCTTCAGGTCTCCATGACACAATATTCGAGACGGCACTGGAGACCATAATATCTGTGAGCTTCTCTTCCTTGCCAGCAGTCCTAAATGCTTCAGATTTAATGAACTCCTTGAGTACGGTAGTCTCAGTCAGCTGTGGATATCCATGGTCCATCATCTCATCAAGTAGTTCATAAGTTATGACAAAATTATCTTTCAAAGATTCTTCGTTAAACTCCGTGAAGTAGTCTTCAAACACCTTGATTAGCTTGTGCAAGAAGTAGAACACCATCATGACATTGGGCTGGCCCTTGCAGAGGGCCACAATGTACAGGTTGTTCTTTCCAACCCAGCAGTGGGTAATATCCTTAAGTTTGAAAACAGGTTTGGACAGACTATCCTCCAGTTCTAGGAGTCTTCTCTGGAACCTATAGCAGTAAGCAGCTGCGATTACTTGTTTATCTCTGAGGAGGAGATATCTCCCCTGTAATCTCTGAACAATAGTACCTTTCCTCTGTAGTCGAGGAAGTAAATGCATGAGCATCCAAGCGACATTTTTGAATTATCAATATAGCAGAAAATTATTGGGGTTTTGGGGTTTTGGGGTTTTGGGGTTTTGGGGTTTTGGGGTTTTGGGG